GTGGCCATTCCCGTTCCCCTGGCCTGAATCCTATCGAGTGTAGGATGCACTGCCTAGAGGCATTGCAACACGTCCAAATGCACCACTGACCATACAGCAATTGTCAATTGCGCTGAAAGAGGAGTGGAATGCCCTACCACATTAACTCATTTCCCACCTCATGGAATGTATGGGATCGCGTTGCAGAGCATTTACTGCTGTCCGTGGTGATCACATACCCTATTCGGAACCGCGTCGCTTTTTTTGAAGTACTAGGATAAGTTGTGAGGTACCATGTGTAATCGGTACCTTTCGATAAAAATGCCTTATCTGCTTGTCCTATTTCGATTTTCTGCCAGTTACTTCCTGTGCAATGGTCCTCCCTTTTATGATATAAATTTCATCGAGCTCTGTCGTCTGGCAGAGGTTCAGTGATCGAAAGTTGCCTCCATCCCTAATTTTTGCACACCAGTGTATTTTCTTCTCACGTTCCTAACAAAAAGTTTTGTTCTAGCCATATCCGGCCGGTTGGTGGGACGAGTTGCATGTGCGATTGACGTTCGAAAGACGATACATATGGTATTTCATGCAAGCTTATTTACCTACATACCTCACAATTTTCATTAGGTAAGCAAGTGACCAAGCTGCAAAGAGTGAAATCGAAAGGTACTACCGACATGATCTTCCGTTTTTTTAGTTTTTGTAATTGCTTTGAGAGGATGCGTATAATTTTGATTTCAGTTGGATTTCGTTCTCGTTAGGACCACGAGCGATTCCGGCGCGGACTATGTTGGGAGTAAATGCATTGTTGGCGATGATCTTTCAGTTCGGCAACATCATGCGAAATCTTCCTAGAGTGTCATATATTAAAGCTATTGGTGAGCGCACTTTTTTCGCCTTTCTGTTCGAGAAAGTTGAAAGATCGAATCGTGTTGTTGGTAATTTCTTTACCTTATTCTCACTGGTTCACACGGTTATTACAGTAATCGTAGGCACAGGTTGCGATGATTCTGAGGCACCACTATTGAGTTGAAAAGTGGAAGTGTTAGTGGGGAGTATTGCATCGGTAGCGAGAACAGCAAGAAATCTGCCAACTTTCGCGGAAGAAGAGGCTTCCCATAGTAGTGAAGATAGATGTTGTACGGACTATATGAGGGAAATGGAATGAGCATAGGGTTTAAACGAGTTCCCAAGTGCTGCAATGTAAAGAGCTGACTATGTGCCTTAAGCATAAATTGTTTGACTGCCTTCAGCAAGGGTTACGACTAGTTTTTCAAATTTCCGAGCGGGTTTCCTTGTTAATGGTGCAGCCTATAGATTTTTCGGTGGAATGCGTCCATTTTCTGTGCAGCATACAACCGTTACGACTTTTGAGCTATTTTGTGCCTTATCTGGGCCGTTCTCTCATCCGACAGTGTCACTGATGGTATCGTAACAATGAAGAACGCATTGAACAAAGATGAGTTTTTTTCATCAGGACTTCACTCTTGAAGGATCTTACTTTGTGTTATAATGGGTTATTAGTCTATGCGAAAATTTCAAAAACTTTCAGCTCATTGCGGATGAGTCTACCATGTCTGATTTTCGATCTATTCCTAGCCTTTGCCAATCTTTGCCCGTGTCTGGGCTTTATGAGCAAAAATATGAACCTGTCCCAGGCTCCAATCATCCCATGCTTAACCGAACTTTGAAATAACTCCGCATTACGGGCCAGACAGACAAAAGCGAATACTTTGCATATAGTAGGTGAAGATAATGATTTCAACGTATACGTAGTTATGATGACTCATTGTATAGAACAATACTGGTACGTTAAGGACACCTTCGGATTGAGCTGTGAATTTGCAATCCTAGCCCCGCTAACTTCAGTGTAGGCCCAACTCCTTTTGAGGTTTTAGCATTCTTCTTTCGACAGCGCTGTGCAACTGTTTTCAGATTCCACAACGTTGTTGAGCAGAGTCATGTGTGAATGATGACAGCTACGCTAATCTCATTGCGGACAACTCCCTCCAAAACTTTACCACCCTTCTATTAGCTGCCCTTAACCACTTTTCCTCGCGTTTTGGAACGTTTTTGAACGAGGTATGAGCTTTCTCGATTAAGCCCCGCTCATCACCTTGGTGCGAACCCCTTCTAGGATTTGAACACGTTTTCTGTACCTCTAACCACTGCGCCCCGCTGATTTTATGTACTATGTCCAGCGCGCATGAGGCCTTGCTTACCCCATTTATTTTTTCTTATCCCCACGCCTTTGTTTATTCTAGTTGTATACTCATGATGGAAGTGCCACTTCTGCGAAGGCTCATCCACCGACGGTGGGCCTCCTTTACTTCATCTGTACGTCCCTTACATTTACTTATTTTTTCCAGCATCTGGTCTGTTATGAGACCAAATCAGAAAGCTTTGCTCCTTACACCGCTAGACTCCGGCACATGCTCCGCCCCTGAGGGCGGAGCCTCGCTAGTCTAACATGCGCTCTGGTCACTTATCCTGGCCCAACCTGTTCAAAACGTAACCCGACCTCTCCAGGTGTCTCCTCAAGCTTCGAATTTCGTGCCAGACAGACTGTCAGGCTGAAAGACAGGTGCGAGCTTTTATATAACGTAAGGATGGACCGGCCACAGGTTCATCTAGGTGGATAACTCAGAAACTATTTCAATGGACTGTGCCTTTAATTCAGTGTGGTGCGGCGACGGAAAATGGCATGACACTGCAAGACACCACAGGCCCACTCCGAACCGGGGTAGACACTAGCTGGGAGGTTGTTCAACAACTGGTTCAATTCTATTCTAGACTGTTTCCTTTAGGAGCTATAATCCCGGTACAGTCTTTTGAGCATTTTTCATTCACGTCGGTTGTATTAGTGGAAAAGTATTTGCGCATCTTGATTTCCATGTTGTGAAATCTTTGGGGATTGCTCTAGTGCCTTCACTGCGGAACATGTGTAAGCGCAGGTCAATGCGCTCTCCACACCATATCTGCCGTAGCATTTTGCAACGGCTAAGGCTGCAAGAATCGCTCTCGCAAAGCGAGTCAGTCTGCCTTTACTTTATAAGTTCAGGAAAAAAACTTTAATTCAAAACGAGTGACAGGGGAAATATGCGATCCGATAGGACCATCTATTGTCTCTAACAGCGCAACAAGAAGTTAGTACAACATGTTCAAAAATGGCCACTTCTACTGGATCGAAAAAAACACTGTCTGGGAAACCAATTGACCTGAATGACGACCATCTCCTGGAACTGGTTAAAGTGCATTACAGGTGTAGTACCCGTCAGCCGAAACAGGAACTCGTAGCCATCACGACACAGCAGCTGTCCATATGCATCGCCTCGGAAAGACATGGAGATTCGGAGATATGGATAAGCTATGGTCTGGGTGGTCACCACCTCCAAATGAAGAGGGATTCATGCCTGAACTTGATAACTCTCCGACGCACCTTCGCATGGCTGGAAGACTTAATCACTGGTAACGAGAAGTGTGTTCTATACTTAAACCACACGAGGAAACGCCAGTGGTTTGGATGCGCAGAGCATGGAATCCCGACCTCCAACCCAGAATACCTACCTCAGCAGGTAATGCCAAGCGTTTGAAGTCATTTGAAAGGATCGTTCACTGGAACGCTCTACCACCAAACTCCGCTGTCGGCACTGAAGCCTAGTGTGCTTTGTGGACCGGATTGCTGCAGCTCTAAAAGAGAAACTGGGAAAAGTCTTTTTCTCCATGACAGTGCTCGCCCACACTTTTCGAAGGAGGCTCAGAAAATGCTTCAAAGCTTGAGATGGCATGATCTGGCCCACCCACCGTATTCAACAGACCTAGCTCCAACGGATTATCATCTGCTCCTGTCGCTGTCGAACCATCCGAAAAATAAGAAGTTCGATTATGTGAATCAACTCGAGACGTACATTGACGACTTCTTCTTCTCGAAACCTAAGGAATTCTATGCAAGCAGGAACCACAAGTTTCCTGATAAATGGCAATGCCTTGTCGATAGTCAAGGTAATATATGTTAATTATTAGTTGTCGTGAAGGAAAAAATAAAATTGAAAAAATTTGCAAAAGGTGCAAAGACTTTTCCGACAACCTAATAATAAAATCCATACGATTGCATTATTTCGAATAGAAGTTGAAAGAATAGGACATTTGAGGCAACTGATCAACATTGCTTCTTCATAGTCGCATTGAAATATTATCTAATGATATCCACTCGCGTGTTGTTGACTTAATACTGCAAAACTGATTCAGAGTTTGAGTGCTATTATTATTCTTACATACTATACTTCATATGTACCTTCTACCCAGTGCCTAAAGATGCGAACTCTACGACAACTTCACGGTCAGAACTTTGCCTTTCTATGAGGCATTATCAACGTAAAGGGAGGGGTTCGGCGGGGCGGTACCATTTCACCCAAAATTTTCAGTGCCGCCCTCGAGAACATCGTTCGTTACTTGGAATGGGAAGACTTGAAGGAAAAGGTCGACGGCTGCGATTGACAACACCTTCGCTTTTCAGATGATGTCATGCTTACGATGCTAAACATCGAATAGACAGAGCGAATGCTGACCGAGTTTAACAGTGCTTGTGGAAAGATCGGCTTGAGACCGAACTTAACGAAACGGTTTCCATAAAAACGGATTGTTCCCGATGCTCCCTTCACGCTGAACGGAACGAATACATATCTTTGAATGCCCTAATATCACCATCAAGCTGTACACAATAGGCTTCCGCATTTACGGAAGCATT